ATAAATAATCCTGAAAATTTTTTTTAAGGTGTACTTTTTAATGACACTGCCAGCCAGTGTTACTTTTTTTTAAACTTAATATTAGGGTTTTTACAATTCCTCTCGCTTGTTTTTTAACTCTGAAAAATTTGTGCAATAAGCAGAGATATACTTCCTGCGGTTAACAAAACCCTGTCAGCATTGATTGAGTTTTCTCATCCTATTGATTGGTGCATCCCAAACAGAAAAACCGTCTTTGTACAGATAAAGCAGCAAAACTGGTCTTTATTTAAATCCGTGAATGCAAACAGTGCTCATGTTGAATTTTAAAATGTCAAAATTTTATAGTAAAAAAAAAAAAAAAAAAAAAAAAAAAAAAAACAATACACAAAAAAAAAAAAAAAACACAATACACACAACACACGCACACTTGTATTTGTACTAAATCGGTCCTAAAACATGTCCGACGTACAAAACGTTAGGAACTTGATATAATAGGTATTACGCTGAGTAAACTTGTTATGGTCGCTGACTACTTTCGTATTTGACTAACTGTCGACTACCATCGTCCGACATCGACTGACCCTCGTTTCTTTTACTACTCCTACCTATATCAGGTGGGAGAGTGTATCAACTATAGAATAGGTGTGTTTCACCATAACACACACACACACACACGGAAAAAGCCAGAGTGAACAATGCCTGGAATATGAACACAAAGATCAGGACAACAATTTGTTTCTAAAACTTTTGCTTTAAATAAAGTTTTTGTAAAATGGATTTAAATCAGTTTGATTAAAATCAAACAACCCTGATCAGTATGACATTAATTTTGAGTGTTGACACAAGCCCTTTATGCTGCATTATATAAAAACCGTGTTTAAAATTTGAGGCCCAATTTGACAGTTTGCTTTGTCATGCTGAAGCAAAATTTAGTGAACCTTGTCTTGGAGATAAGATGGCAAGTGGCATGAACAGACTGCTAAAATAATCTAATAAAAATAGATATAAAATAATCTAATAAAAATAGATATGAAATATCTGCTTGACCCCCCCCCCCACCAACACTGGGTGGAGGAATAAAGAGGAGCTGCTAAGTCCACCAGAACAATTACCATGAAAGTATTTATAGAAAAAGCACAGGGAAGCTACATTACGATAATGGGAAAAGTGACTGAAGTTGAGATGCCAGGTGAGGACCAATAACACTGCAGATTTTTTTTTTTTTTTTTTTTGAGATAAAGATTTAGTGACAAGTCTTACTAATTAACCAATAGCTATGGGGGGGGGATACAAGGTGGATCCATATATTTCCCAAGGTTATTTGCACATAAGTGAATATAATGCACCCAACAGAAATTGGGTCTCTGTTCACAATTTCATAACCCCCAAGCCATTATCAATTACACCACCTGCACATCCAAGCCTACAGTACCTTGTTCAGTGTTGCTTAACTTTGAGAATTGCACGGAGACTAGTGTTTCAACTTCAGGTGTTGACAGGATTAAAAGAAAGAAAGGAAAAAAGGATATACAGCAGTCGGGGCTTGTGACGGTGACAAAGTTAGTCATACTTCAATAATTATTACAGGTCAGACTCATGAAAATACACACTACCCTATTTAAGCAACAGTGTAGAAGTGATATCACTAATAAACATGTAATGGACATAAAAAAAATGCCATTTAAACTAGAAGGGAGTAAATTTCCATTTCAATAACTATACTTCTTTCTTTCTAGAAAATAAATATCATAATCATCAGGTCGAGAATTCTTGGATTCTCCTGACTCGTTCCTTCCAACCATCTGTCAGACATCACTTTCAGCAGGCCCTCCAGATGGCATCCAGGATCATCCACAAGTTGGTCAATATAGGTGTGATAAGCTTTTCCAACTGATCTTTTGCTGCACAATGGGTTCCATAATAAGGAGCCACTCAAGTTCTGACTTCTCCAGGAGTAACCACTTAGCCAAAGCCTTCCCTCTCTCAGCAAAACAGATAGGAAGAAGGTGTCTATACAGATGTTTCTTTGTTGGGTGTTTCTTCCAGATGATGTCCAATGCAACTCATAACATCATTGTGTATGTTACATCATGTCAAGTGTGTCTTCCTGGTGTTATGCCAGTGTCCATGTGGTTGAGCCGTAGAGCAAGACAAATTCTACCGTGGCCTTAAAGAAGTCTATCTTAGGATTGTCAGAGAGAGAGAGAGAGAAGAGTAGTTCCAGATGGTGCTCAGATCATCAAGAACACCCCAGGCCTTTGCGGATTTTGATGTCTCTCCACTGACTGGATGAAGTTGCCAAGATAAACAAATTCCTGGATGGATTTGATGTTGTTGCCGTTTTTCAACATTTGTAATAACTATTCATCAGCAAAACAAAATATTTGCAAGTCCAACCATGCAACAAAATTACTAAGCTTTCCCCACGATAAATTCAATATGGCTCTTATCAGGTCTCAAAATTTAACACTTTCCTATTGTCCTGGAGACCATATACATTAGTTTGGGACAACAGGTTAGATTTTTTTTTTTTTCTTTCTTTTTACAGTGATCTTCACCCTGTACAAGACCCGAATGCCACTCAAGACAGAGTGGTTACAGAATAAGAGGCAAAGTTTATATGGATGTGGGGAAGACAACAGTTAATCCTAGACTTGAACGGAGTAAGACTGTAGTGACAGATAAAGCACCCGCTTGGGAGTCAGTTTCACAAAGCAGCAGTTCACAGGAAGAAGCTGCTCAAGTGGAACTTACATTTCACCAACAGAATACAAAGGGAATAAGACTGGGGAAGGTAACGGTTGATTCTAAACTTTGAACAATCAAGAGTGTGAGACTCACCTCCGCAAGGAGGTTTCCAACTAGCATCCAGTTGGCTGACAAAAATAAACAGGGTTGTAACTCAATGCATGTCCCTCTGTTGAATAAAGTCACAGGGTGGATATTGTGCAGGATAATTATTGAGCACAATATCAACACCAGAATCATCACCAATCAGAACCTACAGAATAGACTTGCCTGGGTAACAGAGTGGAATCTCCCAGTATCTGTCTATATTTCTGAGATGTACATTGTTTACATTATTCGGACTATTGTCCTCATCTTTGTCACCATATAATAATAATAATAGCAAAAATCGCAATATGAGTACTGGTAAAAAAGGTTGCTGAAGACATTAGGTTTATAATGCCCAGAAATTCATAGACAGATGTCCTCAAGGATAAAGACGTTAGTTAGATCCAGTAACAGGACCCAAAGAGCGTGAGTTCAATCCCCGGTTAAGGCAGTGGAGAACTTTCAAAGAGAAATTAACAGGAGATAACTGATACCTGACATCCATTAAACATGGCATGTGGAACTAGAAGTCTACCCCAGTGAGCGAAATAAATGGTTCAGTTCGACATTCCATTTACCTGAAGAAGGCCGCAGCGTGCAAAGATGAGGACAATAGCCCGAATAATGTAAATAATGTAGTAATATAGGGTTTGCTAGTAGCAACAGACAGTACTCGACCGTAATTGAAGTTGAGCCTAACTAAAAGTCTGCTTGGCAAATTGGTAGGTGGTTTATATAACAGCCTGGGAGATTCTACTCTTAAGACTGTTCTACAGTTCAAATAGAACTTACATCTTACCAATGAAATACGAAGGCAATAAGGGTGGTTCGCTACAATGGGCGTAGCATGGGTGGGTCTCAGCTGTGAAGGTTAGAACTGGCAGAACCAATGAATGTTGGAGCACATTAAGTGGAAATAGGGATGGGGTGGGGGATAATTCATCACCCACAAGGATGCAGAGATGCATTTGGACCATCAAAACTGGAAAGAGAAAACTGTGCAGCTCCTGCCCATATATGGTAGCAGTACTCCATTTTAGGCCTGATCTGGCTCTTGTGTAGGTAGAGGAGCAATTGGACTAAGAGCAGTGGCAATAAATAAATAAAAAAAAAAAAACATGAGCAGTGAGAGGCTTGTCATATCCCACCCATGAGAGAAGGGTTGCATGGTGGATAATTTGTCACCCACAAGGACTCAGAGACGCTTTTGGACACTACTGAAGCTGGGAGGTGATGACTTGGCAGCTCCTGCCCATATACGGCAGCAGTACTCCATTTTAGGCCTGATCTGGCTCTCGTATAGGTAGAGGATAGCACAAAGAATCAGGTACTTACCAGAGCGATTGGACTAAAAGCAGTGGCAATAAAAACAACTTGTATGTAAATGACAGGTCTTCATTGTTAGAAGTGAAAGGAAATGTCTATATTTCTGAGATGAGATATTATGTACACCATTTACATTATTCGGACTATTGTCTTCATTTTTGTCACCATATTTCACATTTCAGCCATTGTACACTCCAGCCTTCTTCAGGTGATTGGAATGTCGAACTGAACCACTTATTTCGCTCACTGGGGTAGAATGTTCTAGTTCCACGTGCCACGTTTTTAACAGATGTCAGTTATAAATTATTGCCTGTTAATTCCTCTCCCCAAGTTCTCCACTGCCTTAAAGTATTGAACTCACATTCTTTGTGTCTTGTCACTGAATCTAACCAACACCTTTATCCACTGTGCCATGGATAAAGTGTTATTGTAGAACTAGAACAGTCTACCCCAGTGAGCGAAATAAATGGTTCAGTTCGACATTCCAGCCACCTGAAGAAGGCATGAGCGTACGTCTGAAACGTTGTAATAAATATGGTGACAAAGATGAGGACAATAGTCCAAATAATGTAAACAGTGAAAGTAAATAGTATTTTTTTTTTTTTTTTTAACTATCAAGAGTGGAAAGTGAGGTGTGAGCACGAGGAGACAGGTACTTACTTACAAGCAACAATAAACGTTAAAATTTGGGAATTTTTTGATAATTTTTAATACCTACACTTTTTAATATATTGAATGATTGTCATTTATGGCTTATCAACCCTTTGCGAGTTATTTAAAATCAGTGAAATACAACAAAACCAACTGGAACCTGGCTCACCGATTAATAATTCTGAGCCATTACCCACACAGCCAAGCTTACAGTACCTGGTAATCCCAAGCGGCCACCCATCTAGTACTGACCAGGCTCAACGTTGCTTAACTTCGGTCATTATATGGAAACCAGTGTTTCAATATGATGTGACTGTAAACAGTAAAAGTGTTAAGATTTTGACATCCCCTAAATTTTAATACTTACATTTTTTTTATCTGTCTATATCTTTGAGATGGAGTATTATCATTATTTACATTATTTGAACTGTTATCATCATCTTCATTGCCATATTAACAATGTTTTGACCATTGTACGTCCTGGCTTTCTTCAGGTGATTAGAATTTCAACACATGGCGCAGTGGATAAAGGTGTTGGTTAGATCCAGTAACTAAACACAAAGAGTTATGAGTTCAGTACCAGTGGTGAACCAAAACTTGGTAAGTTGAGAAAGAAAAATAAATGAGACATCTGGAAGAGGTATGGCACATGGAACTAGAACAATCTACCACACTGAACAAAATGAAGGGTTTGGTTTGAAATTCCAATCATTTGAAGAAGGCCGGAATAAACAATGGACGAAATGTGAATGTGAAAATGAAGATGAGGATTACATTTTTTAAGATTAAATTTGCCAATTTGGATTTTTTAAAAATTACATTTAAATGTTTAACCGTGGAATCAAAAGGGCAGGAAAGATTTTTCAAATCTCTAATGGATGTAAGCTGTGATAAAGGTTAAAACCAATCGTTCTAGGTGTAAACCAACAAAAGCAAAAGGAGAAAAACAGAGCTGCTTCATCGAAATTCAAACAACTTTAACACCAATAAGTTAAGAGCAAAAGCAGGTAACTACAATGGGAAATAGAGAACTTTAATAAAATAATAAAAATGAAAGCACTTGTTGGTTGGTTGATTTTGTTTCGTGGCATAATGACACCCCTATGGGTTAATTTAATGCATTTTTCCGACCATTGTCCTAATTTTTACCTCTATATTCATGACCTTTTAGCTGCTGTACGCTCCGGCCTTCTTCAGGTGATTGGAATATCGAACTGAACCACTTATTTCACTCACTGGGGGTAGTTGTCCTAGTTCCATGTACCATGCCTCTCCCAGATGTTTCAGTTACCTCCTTTTAACTCACCAAATTTTTGTTCAGCACATGGGTAGCCAGGTATTGAACTCCCAACTCTTTGGGTCATGTCACTGGATTAACTATCATCATCATCCTGCGGCCTCAGCCAAGATTGAACTCACTACACCTCTCCAGTATTCTCTATCCATCATAGCTCCTAAAAGATCTTCCTTAGGGATCAATGTGTCTCGTTTTATCCTATCTGGAAAGGTTAACTTGCGTGATCGATTGTCAGATGATGGGTGCCTCCAGAGTACAAATGATGACAAGTTCATCTGTGGCACGTGCACAATGCCCGGCGAACTGGACACGTCTTTTGCAAACTAAGGTTGATACTCTCGGCAAGTCTCCATATATCATTTCTAGAGTTGGGTGGTTTTGCCATGAGAGATTAAGCACTCTTCTTAAAAGACGTGTATAACATCCATCTAAACAGCATGGCCCAGTGGATAAAAGAATTGGTTGGATCCAGTTGTGAGTTCAATACCTGGCTACTGCTTTGGTGGACAAAAACTTGGAGAGTTAAAGTGAGATAGTTATCTCCCTTTAACTCAACCCCGGAAGAGGCATGAAACAGAACTAGAACAATCTACCCCAACTCCCCGGTGAACGAAATAAAGGGTTCAGTTCAAAAATTTCAATAACATGAAGAAGGCAGGAGTGTACAACGGCCGAAACATTGTGAACATGGCAATAAAAATGAGGACAACAGTCCGAACAATGTAAATAATTACAATACCTCATCTCAGAAATATAGATATATCTAAATATTTTAAACAATTTTATGGCTACAGATAAAATGTATTTTACTATAAAATGTTATTTTACTATAAATATGTAGTGTTTGTCCTATTTTTGTATATATAAAAATTTATTGCTGGTATTTTTACTATAAAACTGTATTTTTATACTTTCATAATATCTTGTTTTTGTTTGGAGAGAGGGGGCAGTGTTTACCAATAGCTGGGATCATAACAGGTGCTAACATGTCAGGGTAGACCTGGGAACAACAGCAAGAGGTGGTGCCACACTCCTCAAAACCATCCACTCTCCTGATCAGATGCCTTGCTGCTAGTTGTAGTTTATCGTCATACCCAGGATGACATTTTCTTTAAGAATTGCTGCTTCTCGTTCCGTCCATAGCATTTTCAGTATCCTTTTGTAGTACCACATTCCAGCTGCTTCTACATTTTTTCCCCTTGTCCTTGGTACAATAGATAAGTCAGCTAAATGCCGTTATTGTGGACCTGGGAATGACAGCAACTAAGAGGTAAGAGGTGGTGCCACACTCCTCAAAACCATCCCATCTCCCGATCAGAGTCCTTGCTGCCGGATGTAGTTTATCGTCATACCTAAGACCACATTTTAATGGCACATACCCATCACAGTGAGTGACTTTGTTTTTTCTTTTTTAATAATAATCAACCAAATGAACAAAAGATCCCAGAATAAATAGCAGGTAAAACAGGTGTAAGCAACAGGTGTCAACATATTGTCCTTGGTGATTAAACAACAACAACAACAGGTCGCTGTTATACTCGGTGTGGAGAACAAAAGTAACAATATCTGTACTACAATATCAATTCAAAAGTGCCCACATTCCTTGCTTTATTATTTTTATTATTATTACAATATTGGTGTCACACATTGACATAGTGTAAATTTTTGTACTTGAGGTATGATGTTGTCTAAACTTTTCACACCTCAAGAACATTTCACCTTTCCAGTTTTCTGGGAGTTGTTCCAAGTGCACCTATTACTTCAACATTCAGGTTCCATACAGTCTTCAGGTCCCTAACAAGATCATGATATTTTTCTATCTTTTCAGTTTCCACTGACATCCACTCTTGAGTCATACGGAAGAACAAAGTCAATAATTTGACCCTTGCTATTCTTATCTATAACAATAAGGTCAGCATTTGCTGACATGACCTGCCGGGACCAGGGAATCCTATATTACTGTCATTATTATAATTTACCACATCTGACACATGATTCAGATATGCAAAGTTATTATGCCGGTGACGTACATTGATGTAATCAATAGAAATAGTTCTTAAGGCATGGTGTCAACAAGACTCAAGAATGTTTCAGAGAATACTTGCAGAGAAAATGATTTTTCTGGAGGTCTACACACTTGCTCTCAATTCCAATTCTCCATGAGCTATTATTTACAGTTTTCTAAGTGGCATTCCTAGCATATCAATTACTACAGGAATTAGTTCTACATTCCTCTTCCATATCTTATTCTAGATCCTGATATTTTTTTGTCTTTTCAGTCCCTTCGGAGTCCACTCTTGTATAATTTGGAACAGTAAAGTCAATAATTTGACCCTTGCAACTCGCCTTATCTGTAACAATAAAGTCGGCTTTCCATGATGTGATCTGCCTGGACCAAGGAATCCAATGTTACTGTTACTGTTATTATTATAATTTACTATATTTGACATTCAAATATGCAAAGATGATGATATTATTATTATGTTGGTGTCACACATTGATATAATCAATAGAAATAGTGTTCTTGAGGCATGGTGTCAACAAGACACCTCATGACTCGGGAACTTTTCAGAGAATCCTCACATCGTAAATGATGAATTTTCTGGAGGTCTATAATATGGTTCTCAATTCCAATTCTCCCTAAACGTGTTTTTCTATTTTTAACTTTTCTAGGTGGTGTTCCTATACCATCCATTACTACAAGAATTACTTCAAAAATTCATGTTCCATATACTTTTCGGGTCCCTAACAAGATCCTGAAATTTTTCTATCACTTCAGTTTCTTTGGAGTCCATTCTTGTATCGTATGAAAGAGCAAAGTCAGTAATTTGAGCCTTGCTATTCACCTTATCTATAACAATAAGGTCAGCTGTCACTGACATGATCTGCCTAGACAAAGAAATCCCATGTTACTGTTGTTATTATAATTTACCATATCTGACATGATTCAGATATGCAAAACTGAAGAAGGCCGGAGCGGACAACGGCCAAAACGTTGTAATAAATATGACGACAAAGATGAGGACAATAGTCTGAATAATGTAAATAGTGTACATAATACCTCATCTCAGAAATATAAACAGAGTGTCTTTTTCCTCTTTCCATGTGATCAAAATAAAATAGTCCATTATTTATGAGGTATTGGCAGGGCGTAACGGTCGTGCAAACTAATGAAGGGACAGGCAAGCACAATTATAATAGGATATTCAATAAATCAACAAAATTTCAAATGACCTATCTGAGTGACCAACGCAGTTTTGTATCAAAATGCTCATCAGGGACGGATGTGTGATAAATCTATTGAAATTATTATCAAATCTAATATTCATACCCACTCCCAAACATACACTAATAATATAACAACAAGGCAAATAGAAAGGATCAACAACAACTGAACTGGAAGATAGGATTGCAGTAGTAGGCAATTTCCAGCTTAAAATGCCGGAAAGAACAGTTGACAAATATTTATTTATAGCAACCATCTCAAGGTAACAGAATGAGCCTAGCGTAACAAAGGGAGAGAATTATACAGCAACTATTGTCACCTGTAGTGTGTTATGGGTTAAAAGTCCACATGGAGTGTGGCTTTTGAGCTAGTAATCAATAAATCAAAAGTTCACTTAACCAACTCAAGCATTTTACATAGAAAGAGTGTCAACGCCATAGATTCAACACTACTCAAAGGAAATAATAAAATTCAAATTTCAAATACAGACTACGAATAGAAATTTATTTATAAACCCATTTTTCATTTTTTTTTTCTTTGTATGTCTAATTTTAGTGGTTCACTAAAAGTAGAAACGCAATCTAAGACTGATGACATTCTTCATTGATGTACCCTGTCTCTCCAGGACATGGGCAATCATAGCTCTTCCCAACTTCCTATATTTCATGGCTTTAAGTAATGCTTGTCTCCTTGCTATCCCTCTGAATCTCTGCTCTACCATCCATGTACACAAGCTTGTTAGGTATGTTGCACACTGTTCCCTTGTCCCTTGCCTTCAGTATATATCTTGTGA